CAATATGAAAGTCCAAAATGTATTTCATATAATCTGCACCTTTTCAAATGCCTGTATTTTTTATATTTTTTCCTCCCAAGAGAGGCAAGAAATGCATTGATGTGCGGGGCAGACATAAAGAAAGGGTTAAGAAAGCAGTTCATGGTTGCCTGGTGCATATCTTCTGTCAGTCAGTGCCCCCTGAACATTTCAGCCTTGGAACTTCACAGCCGTGAAACTTTGCCTCCACGTCTCTGTGGGAGAGGATGTACTGCTCACGTATCTTTGTGTGCACTCATCACTCAACTGGCTAAACTGACTGATTGCCTGACTGGCCGACTGGCTGGTGGGATGACTATTTCACCAGCTTTACTATACCGCTATTTTAGCCTTTTCGCTGCCTACTTGCACTCATGACCCTTGAAGAAAGGCTGTAAAAGCAAATGCAGCATGCATATAAACATGGCCCTTAGACGCAGTCATTTTCACATTTCAAATTTTCTGGTCAGAGGCCTTGGAGCAAAACTATTACCACTGATGTTTGTAGTAGTAATTGCCCCTCAAACCAGCTCATGAACATTTCCACATATTACCCTTGTAACCCCAAAGTGAAAAAATAGATAAAGTATCAAGATTCAGCTCAACAAGTTTTAGTTTGTTTTTCAAGCTACATAAGGGATAGTTCAATTTAATCCAAACTTGGTTTGACAAAGTACTGACAGAGGGACCAACCCTTAAACATGGATGCTCACTTTAACTGAAATCTGAGCTCTCTGCAGGGAGGCACATAAAAAAACCCCAAACAAACAAAAAACTCCAAGTGTATATGTCTTTAGTATTGCTAACTGTATGTGTCCATACACCATAAATCAACTTTTCAAAACAAACAACAAAAAACAAGATTAGCTTTTGCATTGCATTTTTGTTCCTGCATAAAACAACTCAATTTGACTAATTTAGAATGATTCAGCTCATGAACTAAAAAGAACCCAGACAACCGAGTTGATGAATAAAAGGCTTATTCATTTATATACAATCACGTCTACCCTTTTCCAATACAGTATCCTGTCCAAAGGCATTTGTCTCAGTAGCTTTTTCTAGAGTGCAAATGCACAGAGGCAGTAAAACAGCCACCTGTTGTTATACGTGATAGTGTCTGGACAAACCCAGATGCTGTTTTACTGGGACATAAATGAGCAGTGAATGGACCTAAATACCTAACTAAGCATTTATATGGATGTCTGTTCTCAGGTAACAGACAATGTTAGTGACATAAATTCAAGTTAATGTTAAATGAAGGGGAAAAATTGAGATGTTGCCCCAAAACTGTAGTAAAATGAACAGAGCGGAGAAAAGAGGTAGAGAATGTATACGGCCACAGAGAAAACTTTTCAAAAGGTTAAAAGGTTGTGCAATCTGTGTACATGTGTTTGCGCTGCAGGCAGAGAGAATAACTGAGCAGGGGGTGAAAAGCAGGAGAAGGAGGAAGAGGAGGGGTGAAGATGGAGTCAATTTATTTGTCTGTTTGTGTTTCCGGTCTGTGAAGCTGTGTCAATCGCTCCTGAGGCGGTGTGTTTGCTGGTGTGTGTGTGTGTCGGTGTGAGTGCGTACACGTGTGTGCATGCAACCTTGACATGAGACATAATTACCTTGTCATCTTTGTCAAATTCCTCATCCTCATCCTGTAGCAGGTCCTCCACTGCTTGCTGTCAGATGTCATACAGAGGTTGAGAAAAAAGAAGAAAAACAGAAAATGAAAAATTAAAGTGTTAAAGATATGTTTTTGCACAAATGAACACAGAGTTAACATTATCAGATTCAGTGAGACAGGCAAACAACAGTCACACTAATCGTTTATGGCAAGGTTTTGAACAGGCATTGAAAACTATTGCCGATTGGTGTCGGCAATTATGTCACGAGCGCCACATTTTTTCAGAATTAGAATTTAATTTTAGAAATGCTCTCTTGTTCAAGCATTGCCTCGACTATTCTGGAAATGCAAACAAATGCCCTGGCTTTGAATTTCAAAGCAGGCTGAGGATTAAAGCCTATTCATCCATTCAACCTCCGCTGCACAAAAGCATTTAAATCTACTGCCGTTCTGCACAAGCCATCATCAAATCTCTTATTATTATTATGGTTGATCTTTTCTGACCTCTTTAGCCTTTTGCACTTATCTTTTACTTCTAACTCCACATTTCTATTGGTTTATCTATCATATTACACCCACTCACAATGACTCTCAACGGAGGAAGAAAGCCGAGAAAGAAAGCTGGCAGAGACAACAAAACACAAAGAACAACAACTATGTGCTTCAGTGGTCCACAACAGATGAAAACAGGAGCTGGTGGAGCCCAGGAGGCCCATGATGCATTGATACATACATACTGTACTGAGAAAAAAACAACAAACAAATAATCAGTGTGCACAGTTTAGGAACCAAAACCACATCTGGATAGCTTTACTCTACAGCAAAGCATGGTGTTCAAAACTGTAACCTCTGAAATGCAGCAGACAAATGGCTTTGAGCAAACTGCAATTCATCAAATACTGCACATTCCAGATACGGGTGTATACAGGAAAATAAAATGAACTTTTAAAAGATTGAAAAAGTGTGATTACTAAATGTTGCCTTTTTTGCAAGTATTTTTTTCATTATTAAGACTTGAGCTGTGAAGCTTTCTGTGGTCACCATTTGTTCCTAATATAAACTAGATCAGTAATTCATATCGATAGAAACTTGGACTAGCAGCACCACCTAGAGGGCTGTAAAAACATACAGTTATGCACCTGTGGGGCACAGGACTGCATAGGCTATCAACTGAAGAGACCAGAGATACAGTATGTTATTCGTGAGAAGCTCAGTTACAATGGTTTCGACATCAGTCAGTTCAACTACATTTTTGGCTAGGTTAAATATTGACTTCAACAAATTTGATATTCAATGGGTCCCAGGCCACTTTGTATTGTAAAAGTTCTTTATCAAAAACGTTGAGAACCCCTACTACATTATTCTAATAGGTGAGTGGTCTAGATGGCATGCAGGCCAGTTGGGGTGCACTTTACACCTAAGAAGTCACAATTTGTTCAGAATGAGGTAAGGCAGTTTTCAGAAAAAAAGCCCTTAACATTTGAAAAAGGTGTAATGTTTAAACAGGATTATACAGTATGGTACCCAAAATCTCAACCCAAGACTGTATATATATTTGCATTTACTGACGCACCCCATACAACTGTGAATGCTATTTTTGTGCCGCGTGGCTATAACATTCTTAATGGTCTTCAAATTGTTTAACGTTTCTGGAACGTCTCTGGAAACATTTTTTTATTAAAAAAGAAATGAAAAACATCTTGGTACAAACACTTTTTTTTTAAACCACTTGAATTTTCCTAGGCTACGACCTTTGCTGATACAATGGAGTCAACGTCTTTCCGCAAACACACACAGTTCATGAGTGATGCTGTTGAAGTGAAAACATACATGTGAAGATCACTGCTAAACCCAACCACCTGGTTTCTGTCACTCCTGCATTAAAGCCTTAAGGTCATATTGTTCCTTCCTATTCACATAAATAAATATGCAGATCATAAGCTGCACTGCTGTCAGCTGCTTCAGTTTTCGTCCCTGTCCTTAAACCACTCAGAACCTCTGCCCGGCTTACAAATCACCACAACCCTTTAAATGACTCCAGAACACAACACGAGAGTTTGAAGGAATCCAAAAATCATTACTTCACAAGACAATAGCTTTTGTGCCTTTTGTTTTTCGTTGGAATAAGGGGAGCAACTATGTGGCGTCTGACATAAGCCTCTTATGTAAATACTGCTTCCCACACAAACAAAGATGAGTTCAGATCAGCAAAGTTGAAAGGGTAGAGTCAATACTGTGTGTGCGGGTGCGTGTGTATCACTAGGGTAAAAAGTCTTGTGCATGTTTACACTGCTCTCCAGTCTGACTGTACAGCAACTAGTTATTCCCAGTTCACCTCAACTCGGTCTAGACAGATGAGATTAACTGCATCTACAAATGATCTTTATTGATTGTGAATAGATGCAGAACTCAGGTTTTTAAACACCACAGAGGAGATGGCTGTTCTCAGCCGAGGCGAAAGATGTTAACGTGATACTGTAAAACCAATGCCTCCTGGCACCGCTGAACAAAAGGACTGTGACTGTTTATAAAGTCATCATGGTTCCTCCCAAATCCTTTCACCCATGCCAAAATACAAACATAATGGATTCCTCCACACAGAGGCTTTACTAGGACATGGCTGGCACATGCTCCCAACTTTAAACAAAGGCAGTGAGCACCAGCATAGCTGGAGAAGCATGACCTAGAGAGACAGTGAGAGTGATAGAGTCGTTTGTCTCCCCCTCCTCCTCGCTCTGCTCGCTCCCCTTCTATCGCCTGTGGTTACAGAGGGGAAGTCATGTTTCCCGCAACGAGACACAGTGTAAAATTAATAAATAAAAAGACACGGAACATGTCATCTGCCCTGAAGAGTGCCACAGCTAAATGCGTGCACTAAAACTACAGCCTACAGAGTGAAGAGAAATTACCCCAGTGCAACCCATGAATTCCAAACATCCATCCGTCATTTTCTCTCTTTTCACCTCTGTCTTTTGCCGTATTGGTTCTGGCCTTTGTTAGACCTGTTTGTGCACAATACCATTTGCCTACATATCCTCCCATTATCACATTCATTGAATTACTATCATTACAGCACTACAGCCTCACCGTGTCACACTCACATTGCCCGCAGAGCTGCTCCAGTCAATTCAATATCTTCTAGTGAGGTGGGGATTCCAATATTCAAACCTTCACATGATACAGGGCTACTATTACAGATTACAGTGGTACACATAAATACATACAAAGATACAGATAAAATAAAACCAACATCAAATTAATGCAGGTATGCTGACATTAAGGGTTTAAACAGCCATGAAAATATGAATACAATCGTATAGGCCTAAATTGAACTGATTTGCAAGATTGTTGCTCAGACTGAATTTTTAATAGAGGGCAAACACTTAGATATATCACTTATTGGTTGGGTAGGCAGACAGACCTATGTGGACTGAGGTCTACTCGTTTGAACTCTCCTGTTTTAAAAGAACAAAATAATACTGTACATGTGGTAACTAGTATGGTGTATTACACTATCTAGAGTAGCATAGTATGGGTATGCAGTGCAAAAGTCAGGAGAGTGCAGTGAGGTATTGTACAGTACAGCACATTACACATTGGTACAGTACAGTATAGTACAGTACAATATTGTGTGTTGTGTAGAATGGTTTGATGAACAGTGAAAAAATAAGAAGAGAGTAGTATGGTATAGTATAGTACAGTATGTTATGGTTTTGTATGCATTGCAAAAATATTTATATATATATATATTATATATTTATATATTTTAATATTTTTTCAGGTCATCCTGAAAGAACAAAAAATCTGGGGGGGGTTGTAATTTTTTTTTATCTCTGCACATCATTACTGAAGTATGACACTGTGACATCAGCCTTTGAATATTATGCTCCATGACCGTAGTGCACAAAGACTTTTTAATGCAAAGAAGGGAAGACTTATGTTTGCAAACGGTAATTGATAATCATTTTATACTTTTCCTTTACCCTAACCTATGCCTTCATCCATAGCTTGTTTTTAATCCTAGAAGAAGAATCTTTGAAATGACACCACAGGTCATGGAGGGTCTTTGGTTCCGGTCAGAATGGCACTTTCAAAAGGTGTTAAAACAGAAAAAAAAAAAAACAGGAAAAACACTCACACACATACACCTATACTCTAGAGAGAATAAATAAAAAAAAAACTGACATAAACTAGCAGCCACTCTCCTTCTGGAATGCGTCTACACTTTCTCAAATCTTTCCCCACTGAAGCGCAGCTTCACTATCTCCCCTTCTAACCTTCCCAATGACAGCCACAGGGGGAATTGACGCCAAGGCAGACATCTCAGCAAACATGAAGATATACTTTCTCTGTCTTTTTTCTCCCATTCCTCTCTCTCTCCCTCCATCCTCCTGCTGCTCCTCATCTTTGATATGTGAGGGGGTTTTAACCTCTCCAGCTGCTAAGGTTTGGTCTACTGGCTGGCTGGGGGATCTCAAGGCCCTACTTGGTATGCTCCGTCCATGCGTGCATGTGTACGTGTGTGTCTCCTCTGTCTTTGTGTGTACATATTGCCTACGTGGTTTCTTCAGACTGGGGGAGGGCTGTGTGTCTGATAAGGGTAGTTGGCTGAGCTGGCCTGACCCACACAGGGCCTTCACAAGCTGTCAGAGCTGTGGCCTTTGGAGGGGGGGCCCTTCCATCTGTACTGCCCCAGCCAGGGCTCACCCAGCAGGAGGCTAGATAGGGGTGAGGCCGGGGTGCTACTAGAGCTGGAGGCAGGGGGCAAGGAGGGCGGTTCCATATTCATGAAAACAACACCGAATCTGTGAGCGCTAAGAGAGATTAGTTGTTTTTACATAGACCTTTCCAAACGGGAATGTTAGACATTTTTTATTTACTCTGAATGTCTTCATAAAAGGTGCAGACATGCAGTGGAAGTGGGCTGTTCTTGTGTCGTATGTCTTGGGTGCCAAATATTGGGTTATTTATGGAAAATGGCTATGCCGGCTGAAAGGTACAGAATTGCTTGCTCAGACAGGCCACCGTTTATCAAAGGGCCCAAAAAACAATGGA